AAAATGAATCAAAAATTATGTTTCTAGCATTTGTAGTTAATAAGTTATAAGCGTTTAAAGCTAAAAATAAGTTGTTGTGTTTCTTTTGTCAGCCACTGTAAGCTCTGAAGATGCCTTCTTGCAAATACTCAACCTAAACTGAAAGTAAATACTTACCCTTAATTATCTAATGTCTCATCCAGTGTTTCGCTAAGTAACTTTTGTTTTACTGGCAATTTTTCACATAGAGATACGCAGTAAGTATGCTTATTATATAGTATTTGCTTATTTATATAGTTGTAATATTCGTATTTATGGGTTGTAAAATTTCGTTAACCTCAGGAAAGGAAAAAATTTTTTTTGAATATATATGTGATTTGCATGGTGCACAACCCTATTCTTTGACAAGAATTTTTCTGATATTGTATTACGTATTTCAGGTGATCGATTTCCTCATATGACTAAATCATATTATTTGTTCTGAATTATCATTCTCTTAGACGATTACTAGAGAGATAATAAGACTCATCGTTGGAGACCCTCTCCTTTCATATTTTCTATTACGATAATAATAACCTTCATCACATTCACCATATTCATTATATTTATCATCATTCGAATCATCTGATGTCTCTTCTTCAAAATCATCAGAATAAGAGTTATCATTATTTGAACTGGAATCGTTATCATCTGCATTAACAGGTCCTGAAAAGACTACATCATCATTATAGTCATTTGCTGCTTCTCCAATATATTATCCTGATGATTCAAAATCTCCTTTACAGAATTAATAATACAATCAGGTCTTTTTGAGATCCCATCTGGTAACTCAATGTTGGGATTTTCAGAGAAATAATTAATAATAATTTGAATTTGACTATCAGATAATTCTGATATAGAATTCGCACTATACATTGTGTATACTTGATTTTATCAATTCCTATATTCTCAAATAATTTGTATATGCTTCTTGCTTTCTGAGTTTGTTTTAGTATTGTGTTACGTTTAGTATCAGAAAGAAGGAGTTTAATAAGATTGTCATAAATCATACCTTTTGCTTTTTTCTCGCCAACTTTATACTCATTTATAAACTCTACAGTCTTTTTATCAAATTCTATAATATAGAGACACCAACACAATAATTCTTTTTGATTAGCTCAAATCACTTCATCTTTCGCATTCTATGCTTCTTGTATTAAGCAGGTTAGATTTTGCAATATACTTGGGGGATTATCTGTATCAGATTTTTCGTGACAGACCATCATGAAAATTTCAGTCATATGATTTTTCTCAGATGTCAAAGTGGTGAAATCAAACACATCCTGTATAATATTCTCTGCTTCCCTTTTCTTATGTAATTAAGATTTTTTCATTACAGAAGATGAGTCCTGGATAGCTGATTCATGTAATAATTTCTTTTCCCTATTCTTCTGTCTAATCTCATTGCTAACACTTTTCTTATACACCTTATCTAAGAAAATGTCCGTCTCCCTTTCCTCCATCGACTTGATATTTGTGTTATCACTAGTTGTTCCATTTATAGGCTAATCTATTACAGCATTAGAAGCATCCAGCTGTGGTATAGTTGTTACCTTCTCTTTTTCTCTAACAGAGCATGAGTTCTGCACGTTAGCGTGCTGTGGTTGCTAAGACCTCGTAAGATTAGAGGAATCAAAATCATATCTTAGTTTGATTAATTCAGCTTTAAGATCAGCATTTTCAGCTGAAATATCTGCACTATTTTTTTCCAATTTCTCGATTCTGACCTTGTGTTTGGCATTCTCAGCATCACGCCTAACATTCTCCTCAATAATCTGTCTCAATTTCACATTCTCATTCTTAAGCTCACCATTCTCGCCCTCGATTTCAGCAAACTTCTTCCTGAGTTCGACAATCTCAGTTAAGAGCTTGGCATTTAATTCTCTCAATGAATCAATGGATTGCATATTCGATAATAATTTTTTATATAAAATGGAATAATTCAAAAGTTCGTTAGCATAGATAAAAAAACGAGGTAATATTCTCATCAGAATTACTGATTTATTGATATAAAAATAAATTACAAGACATAAACTTGTTTTACAAAGCGAAATAGAATTTCTATACTAATGACTGCTGGTATCTCGTTTATCTAAACTATCTATATGAACATGTCCCAACATTAACTCTAATCCAATTTCATTTGCCCTAACATTGATATTTTGGATAGAATAAAATAGTCGTCAGTTATGCATAGAACATGCAGAAATAAATTAACGATATCGACCTTAGTAAAACTCACTCGAAATTTCTGAACAAAAAAATAGATATTGGCTCGTAAATGCACAGCCACAACCGATCTGAAACTGCATAATGACATTGTGATATGCTGATTTTCAATTGATGTAATACATAATTATGAAAACCCTCTTTTTCGAGTAGATTCTTCACAAGCTATCCGTAAGAAGCAATAAATAAGATGGGTTTCACAATAATCGATAATTTTTCGTATTGTTATAAATGTCATGCGATGTTCTATTTCTGAGTTACATGAATAGAATTTTTTTATGACTTTTTTTTTTTTTTGTAAAATATATAAAGAATCCTTGTCCGGTAGAAGGGTGAGTGAGAATTCCTTATTATTCACGTATCTAATCTGAATAGCTAATCGATATAGCTAACTGATAATGTAAGACTACAATGAATAAGAAAATTCAACGATCATTTAAAAGAAAAGCTTTTAGTAGGACATGAAATTTTACTATACTACGTTAATTAACTAATCATGGATTAGAAATTTCAATCTAATGGATCGACTCAATCCCAATGGTTTTTTTTAAGGATGACGTCCTGTCAAATATTTACCCAATCCAATTTATAAATATGTTAAACTCTACCAAATTCTTTTATATAAATATCTTGTAATTTGATAATGTATAACGTTTCGTTTTTAATTATTTTTATGTATTGTCATTTAAAATGACTTTAAATGAATTAATCCTGTATTTTTCCTTGTACTATAATATTATTTCATTTATTCTTGATTCTTTATTAAATATTAATTTTACTTTTCTTAATTTTACTATAAAGTTTAAAAGCGTAAATGAGTGTTAGGACTGGGAATTCGTCCTATTTTGAAGTTATTTATTAAGTCTGTGTATGAAAGTTCGTATGTGATTACGTAATTAATGAAGATATCCGATTCCATTCATCATCTACTTCATATATATCAACTGGTTTAGCCGATAATATGACTCAATATACAAAAGGTCTTTATTTAATATTTTACTAAAAGGTTTGTTTTTTGACCTTTGTTTATAATCACGATAAAATAAACTTTTATTTTATCATCTCTTCACAGAAATTCTTATAAAATGGTGGTGCTGTTAAATTGTTTACGCCTAGAAGACACTTTTGATGATATTATCAAGGTTAATGTTGGCGATAAACTTGAGGATGATAATAACGTTGAAATCGATATTAGTGATGCAACTGTCTCAGATCTCAAACGCTTATTCAGCGTACGAAAAAAGAACTTGCTAGTTCTAGCATTATAAAGCTTTAGAAGGTTGAGCTTGAAGATGAAGGAAAGCTTAAGGATATTTCCACCGAGGAGGACATAGAGAAAAAACTTAATGGCA